AGGCGCAGTGTTCCTCTCTGTGATGATGGCCTCCTGGGCTGCGGGGCCACAGGTGGGGCTGGGGTCCAGCGGAAGACTGAGGAGGTCTGGACTGGACCTGGGTCTGACCAGCTCCCTTATTCAGATTAACTGTATCTCATTTGGCGGACACACAGGTATCCGCTCTACTAGTCTTGCGACTTTCTGTTTGAAGTTTTTCAAAACAGACATTCGGAACCACAGGGTCCTGGCTCTGCCATCTTCCTGCATGACCTTGATCAACATGCAGCATCTACTGTATTCCCTCAAATGTAAAATGGGGAGAATTGGACTCCAAGGAACCAAAGCATCTGTCTGTCACCGATCACAAAGCGTCTTTCTGCTCCATAAGTTGGAGCATAAGTTCTCCATTTTACAGAACAGGAGACAAAGACTGGGAAATTACAAAGTGGTGGAGACAGAATTTGCCCCAAGGATGCCTGACCAGAACACTGCCCACTCACCCTACCGGTGCCCTGTCTCCCTCCCACCCCCACCCAGTCTCCTCGGAGCTGCGGGCTGGGTCCACCTCTAGTATTTCCTTGAAACTTTCTAGATTGGCCACACTGAACTGCTCGTCATCCTTCCCGGAGGACACCCTGTCCTTCCTCATCTCTAGGACTTTGCATGCATTGGCTGCCTGTCTTCTCTTTGAGTTTATGAACTCCTATTCACCCCTCGGGGCCCTTCTCAATCTTGAGTCCTCCTTGAAGCCTGCCTTGATTCCCCAGTAGAAGTTGGTCCCCTCCTCTGTACTCTATCAGACTACTCACACACCAGTCAGGCACTTCTCATCCTGACTTGCTGTTTGCGTCTCTGCTGTTTGTGGGAAGGGCTGGGCCCCATCACTCCTGTGCCTTTGGAGCTGGGGTTGGGGTCTTCATGTCTTCGGTGCTCAAGGAGGGAGGGGCGTCAAGGGAGCAGGTGGACCTGAGACCCTATGGAAGCCTTAGAGGAAGGGGGATGGAACAGGGTGAGTGAAGGGAGAAAGGACTGGAATCACCTGGCGCCATATTAACAGCGGAGAGCAGTGGAGACCAGCTTCGGCCACCAGTGTTTTGAGGCTGGGGGGGAGGAGGTTGTGATTTAGGCCCTCTGAGCAGGGGTCAGCGGGCGAGGGGGCCTCTCCCGTGGCTCAGCGGTAAAGCATCTGTCTGCAATGCAGGAGATGTGGCAAGAGCCGCGGGTTCCATTCCTGGGTCGAGAAGATTCCCCTGGAGAAGGAAAATGGCAACCCACTCCAGTATTCCTGCCTGGGAAATCCCGTGGATAGAGGAGCCTGGCAGGCTACGGTCCATGGGGTCACAAAGAGTTGGACACGACTCACTCAGAGCCTAGACAATAACAACAGATGGTGAGGGCAGAGGGCAGAGGCCATTGAGGGCAGGGGGTGCCATGCAGGCTGTTGAGCTGGCACTGCTGCCTAGGGTGTCAGGCGCCACATGAAGGCCCAAGCGGTGTTCTCACTTAACCCTCAAGCATCCCAGAGCCAAGTGTTACCCCCTGGTACAGGGGGCACACGGAGAGCAGAGGGCGCATGGAGCCAGGAAAGGTGCTGCCTCGGAGCCCTGTGGGCAGCCTGGGCGGTGGGCGGGGGTGGGAGGCCAGCTGCGAACCTCCAGCCGTGACCCCAGACCCGGTCACTTCTAGGGCCAGCTCTAGTCCACCTGGAGGCTGGCAAGTCATCCGCCCCTCACACTTGTATCCCAAGAGGAAAAATGCGGTTTAACTGGCGAGAGCAGGAAATCATCCTCTGTTTGGTTTTCTAGGAGAGCGACAGCGAAGGCCTCCTCCACCTGCCAGAAGCAGGGAGGGAAGGTAACAACAGCCTTGGACTCGAGCCCGGGGACCTCTGCCAGTGGCCTCGTCCAGCCCGCAGCCCCAGGGAGGGCCGGGGAGGAAGCACAGAGCCTGACCTCCCCAGGCCGGGGGGCCCCGAGCCCAGGTGAACCCGCCTCCTGGATGGGCTTCAGACGCAGAAATCAGCTTTCTGTCCTAGAATGGAGCCCAGCCGCCCAGGGCTGTCATCACAGCGTCCGAAGTCTGTCCTGTGAGAAGCCAGCTGCCCGTAGGATAGCACAGGTGTGCTTCAGGGAATAACACAGAAACCTGCTTGTCGGATCTGGTCCTTCCTCCCCACCTGGACATTTGTGTGAGGTCATTGTCGCCACGACAATCACAGGCTCACCAGGCTGGAGGAAACCCTGGACTTCTTCTGCAGTCTGGAGGCATGTATGATTCACTTTTTCACATGCAGACAAGCCTGCACCCCTTGGGGGCCCCGCAAACTTGGGTGGGGGCCTCACCCACTCTGGGCAAAGGTGGGGTGGTCACCCCGCATATCTGCACGATAACCTTTGGACAAAGTTCTCCTGGCCCCACGGAACCGCGTGGAAATGAAGGTAAAAAGCAGTGATTGCTATTTGTCAGCAGCCAGGGGAATTCTTAGGAGACAGACGCTTGCAGAATTAACCCGGAGAAGGTGGGGCCTCCAGACTCAGGCTGGAGTGACCCTTGGCTCTATGACCCTCACCGGCCAGCACAGTCCTGGCTGGACTCCACCTGGAGTGGTGTCCTGGGGTCACAGCGGCCACTTGCCACCAGCCACGTGGCCTCGGGCAGACTGATTCAGCCTTTCCCTGAACTGTGGTTACTGAGCACGTACTACCCCAGCTCTGGAGGTGGACAGGGAGAGTCCATGAGACGCCCTTAGAGCCTGAACACAGTGCCCCCTCCCCGTGTTTGTCCCCCCCCCCCCAGGCTCAGCTCTGTCTGGCTTCAGGAGTGCTTGCTTGCTTCCCAGGGCTCACAGACATGGCCACCTGCTGCCATCTTGGCTCCCTTGGTTCTGTTCAATGTCCTGGCCACTCAGGACCATGACACTCTCCCCCAAACCCCATTGAAAATGCAACTCTTCCAGCCTTGAGAACCTTCCTTCCAACCTCAGGTGCTTGTCCAGCTACAGCTGAGCTATTCTGACTGCAGGAGTACCTCCAGGCCTTGGGGAACTCTACTTTCCCTGGCCAGGGGTGCACTCTGGCTGCAGACTTTTTCCCTGACCCGAGTGCATGCCAGCCATCTTCATTCAAGCCCTTCCCCGCCGCCTGAAGCCTCCAGCCCTGCTGCCTTCTGAGGTATNGGTGATGCCATCCAACCATCTCATCCTCTGTCATCCCCTTCTCCTCTCACCTTCAATCTTTCCCAGCATCAGGGTCTTTTCCAATGAGTCAGTTCTTCGCATCAGGTGGCCAAAGTATTGGAGTTTCAGCTTCAACATCAGTCCTTCCAATGAATCAGACCTCACCTCCTACTTCAGACCAAACAGAAACCTAGTGCTGGAGCTGGCTCCCCCTTACACAGACCGTCTCTTTTCCTCTTGTTGCCAAGACAGACCTGTAATCCTAAGACGACGACTCCTCACCGACTCTGAGGAAACCACACCCCACTGCCAGCCTCACCCTGCGGAAGTTTTCTGTCTCCACGGTCAGACCTGCTGGTCCCCACCTCCTTCCTATCTTCATCATTTCCACCTTCAGTCAAACGTCCTCTCCGCCTGCTCTCTCCTCAACCTGCCTGGCTCCTCCTGGAAGGGCCTCCCCAGACTGGGCTCCCGCAGGTCATGAGGACCACAGAGACTGCACCTGCCGCTCTGGGCGGAGCCTGCTCAGGGGCTCAGACCAGGGCAGCCCTCCTGCACGCCTGAGCAGACCCAGCAGTGCTCTGCGTCCCCTTAGCAGGACAGGGTAGGTGACCCCCAAAAGAGAAGCCACTGTCCACTGCAACTGAGCAGGAAAACTCACTAATCTGACAAGGAGAAAACAGGGTAAAATAAAAACTTTACCAAAGTTATTTTGATAAGGCCGCAGACTCTCTCCTGTCTTCCAGGATGCAGCTTTCCAACTGCTTCCAAGAACGAAAGCTTAACACCCTGGGACAGTGCGAGGGGCAACGTGCAAGAAGGCAGGTAGAGGGAGCTCGAGCGGGAGACCCTCCCCCCGCCTTCCCAATTCTGCCCATCCATGTAGCCTGCCCCTTCTGGAAGAGTCAAAACCCACTCTCCCTCTGGGCCCATCACTAGCAAACACAAGCGATGCCCAAGCTCTGTGACAGCAGGGAAGGGAGGAGGCTGGAAACCTTCTCGTCCTCTCTTGCAGGAGAGGTCATGCTTCCTAGTCCTGGGGTTTACCCGAGGTCAGCAGCAGGCTTGCACCTTGTTGAGTGCCGCTCCGAACACCGTGGGAGCACGTTCACAGTCGGCACTGGAGAAACAACTCACATGAGGCCTCTGGGCAGCGGGCCACTGGTTGTGGAGAAGGAGCAACTTGCTTCAGGGCAGACAGCAGACTCGAGCCTCTGAAAGCGGCTGTGGATTTAACCAGGCCACCTATTAGCTTTTTGTCACACTGGGAACCCAAGTTCACGGCCTGGTTGCAACTCTCACGCTGACTGCCCTGAGTGGACATGGCTCACCCTGCAGCTTAACTGGCAATAGGACCAGGTGTCCACGCTGACCTACAGGTGCTGCAAAGAGGTGGTCTGGGGGTGAACAGTTTGCTCAGGGTCACCCACATGTTGCAGAGCTGGGCAAACTCAGGTTTCCTGATTCCTAAGTCAGTCTTTTCTTGACTAGGTTTTGCTACAGAAACTGGGAAAGAGGGACCCACACCAGTCCTATTTGCACCAGTTCTGTCCAGTTCAATGTGGGAAAAGACCAAGAAGTCAGAAACCATTAGTTAACTTTCTCAGGTTCAAGGGCTGGGAGGGTATGCAGTTTACAAGTGGTCTCCCCACTGAGAGGAACGTATGCTCACCCCGATCTAAACCAAATGGCAAAAGAGCAGGAGACCAGGGCTCAGAAAACTCAACATGCAGAGATACTGAAAAGCTTCAGCAAGTGTGATTTTTACAAATTCTACTGTAAATGAAAACCTTGTGGACAGTCACCACTTTGATCTTCTCAGATACAGTGAACACCGGCCAAACTGTTTTAATTTCCGAATTTATTAAAATGATTAACCTCAATACTGCAAGTGCATGTACAAAATATTTGTAAAAAATGTTTTTTAATGAAACGTTAAAGAACTTACCTCAAATGCTGAAAAAGTCCTTTTTTTTTCATTCTTTCAGTACAAGGAATACATTGTATCTCAAAAGTATTACAACTCAGCAAAACAATTTAAAACAGTAATTTGAAAAATGATTGAAAATTGAATACTTTACATATATTTCTACGATCGTTTCCTAATTCTTACAATGCCACAATCTTTACCAATCATTGCATAAGCTCAGGCTAGAAGTTTTATTGATTGCAACCTTTTCCAAGTGGTCGGCAGTGTGTGGACTTGGCCGTTCCACACAGAGTCCTACAGCATAGGCAGGCCAACACCAAGGCCCCTCACTGTAAAAACGGAAGTCAGGTTTCCCTGGAAGGCGTCGGCCAAGGCCGCCGAGCGCTTGTGCACACTGCCTCTTGAGGCAGTGACCGCCGGGCCTCACTGCTCCGGACCCACGGGAAGCTCAGCCCCCAAAGACGGAGCCTCAGTAAAGTTAAATGTCATAAATAAATTACTAAAGTTAAGCTTAAAAAATGGAGAAAAGTGGGAAATGTGGTATTGTTACTTTTTAAGACTGAAATTCCTGAAGTGGCTATTGTTGGTATTCCAAAAGAACGGTTCAAGATGTGGTCTCTGAACCTCTTCCAGACTGCAAACTAGGTGGGGTTCCCACCAGTCAGGCTGACTCGCTGTGCTCCGGTGCCTCCCGGATGCAGGGTCTAAGCGTGACCTTCTTGGTGCGTGAGCCCCCCTGCCCCCTGCCCCCTACGGCCACCCAGAGACTCGGGAGGGCTGGGTGAGTCTGTAAAGTGCTCTGCGTGCTCGGGGACAGACCTGTGGGACCGCCCTACGTCGAGAGGTGAAGATGCTAGATGGAGTGAGCCGAGGGGGTGTGAGTGGGCGAGGTGGGCTGTCTGATCCCACGTTAATACCTGAGGGATGTAACTGCACCGTAACAAATAGGGACGAGACGAGAGAGAAGACCACGGAAGTCATTCCTTCAAGGACGGAAGGAGCGGAAAATTTTAAATTAGAGAACCTTTACGATTATTACCAATTTCTACTTGGAATCTACTAGCAATAGTTTTAAGGAACTTAATTTAAATTACGTCCTCAAGAACCTAGAAGCTGGCAGGAATCACGAAGTCCTAACAGTAGAGGTTTTCCCATTGGACTGCTCATTACCTGCAGAGGCCTTTCAGTATCTCAAGATATGGGCTACTCTTCTAGACACTACATGAATTCCCTAAATTGATTTTACTCAGGAACACTGTATATCCGAAAGCACATGTACACATTTCCCAGAAATAAAGAGACCCACTGGTGTCAAACACCTGCTACAGATTTATATTCTCAAATTCTTTTTTCCAATGATTTGTAAAATAATCCAGAGAAATGGAAGGTTGGTATTGAACATAAAGTAGTAATCAAAAATTTGCTCATTAAGTTACTTAAACATTAATTTCTCTTTTCAAAGTGCTTCAAAAACAAATTAAATCTGACTCCTCTTTTTTGTTAACTGATAATATAGTAAAAAAAAAAAATCTTTGATATTTTCAAACATAAACTAACATAAGCCAAGAACTCCCACTGATGCAGTGCTTAAAACTATATATTTATAATTTCCTATTTTATTGGCATGAATATTTCTAAACTTAAAAACCTTCCTGGTAAGTTCTTTTAATTTCTTATGACAAAAATTTCTCACAACACAAATATTTACAACATATACACTGTTTTCAGTTCTTTACACTGAATTTCAAAGACGAACATTTTTATAGGTTACCACAGAACAAAAGCTGTGACTCATGTTTTTATTTTATAAACTATTATAAGTTAAAGTGAATAGTTTTTTTTAATATTCCTTGTAGCATTTTACAAGTGCAACAGAAAACTCGAAGACCCAAATTAAGAGAGCTGTAGTTCATTAGATAAATGTTGCTTGTTGTCGTCACATTGTTCACAGCAAATTTTTTGAAAAAATAAGCACCAATCATTCTTGCAAAGAACAATTTTATCTAAAAGGATTGAAAAGTGTTAAATACAAGGTCTTTTAATTTACATGACAAGCAATAAATACGCTGTATTGAAATTCATCCTGCACACTGCTACCCTTGTACATGTAATGTACTGAAAATTAGCTGTCACGCATGTAATTGTACTTTTTTTTTTTTTTAAAGAAACCAATTTGAGTCCCACCCAATGGTCTGCTATTTAACCAAGGTCACAAACAGTACACCTGGGCCAGCAAACAGTGTGAAACTGACAGAACTCCAAGGGGGAAACACCTAGCAAATAAATCAAAAAGCCAAAGATCATTGCTGGTGATATTAGCATATACTAGAAAACCTTAATATGCTGCTGCTATGATTTGTTTTAAATTATTGTTTAGTCATATATTAAAGAGCCAGTTGATGCTTTTAAAGTTAAAAAAAAGGAAACTGTGTAGCCACATTATTGGTTTCAATGTCCTGTGTGGAAAGTTGCTATCACTGTACAATTTTGCTTGAGCCTTTATTTTACAACAGGGCTTTACCTCTAACTCAGAATTGCACATAAGAAGGCTATTTAAAAAGTACAATAAAAATTTGCACAAATCAGACTTTTTTAAGAAGAGTCAGTACGCTGTACACTTTCTACAGTATTATGCTGATAAGTGATGAGACAATAGAAGTGCTGCCACTAAAACGTTTTCAGCTGAGGAATAATTGACTGGAATTTTGTATTTCTTTAAAGTAGTTATCCCGGGTCAAGTTAAGACCAAGAGTTTATTATGCGTTAAGCCTCAAAGACTGATCTTCTCTCCTCCTGGAAGAAATGTCAATATCTATAGAGTCTTTCCCAACTATGAGCCTCAACCGCTTGGCCGGAGGCAGAGGGATAAAGTCGTCTTCAAAGTCATCGTCATACTCCTCGTCCTCGTCCGCTCCCTCTGAAGAGGAGGAGTCGTCTGTGCTCTCCTCCTCGTACTGACTGTAGTCATCCACTTCCATACGCGACTCCAGGAGGGACAGGGGGTCACTACAGCACACCCCGTTCTCATGAAGCCCCTCTGTATACGGCCCCCTGCTTTCCTCGTCCCGCTTTAGCTGGATTTTTAATTTTGTTGAACTACTGCCAGATCCTGAGTTAAATCCATTGTTGAGCTTTGCTACATAGAGGTTATTATCATTTTCATGGTCTTTACTTAACTTGATGCTGATTTTTGAAGAATTCATCCCATCACTCTCTTGGTCATTTGTCTTGCTGCTGCTGTCATGCCGTCTGCGAAGAGTCAACTTGGGAATCCCAGAGTTATTTTCCAGGATTAACTGTGCATCATACCTCGTGATCCGCCTCTTTTTTTTACTTTTCGCAGTTCGGAAGCCGTCTTTTGTTTTGAAGCTCTCTGATGTCACCAGGGATGCACTGACAGGCGAAGGGGCCCAGTCTGCATAGCTCCCGGGCACGCCCTCCATGCCACTGTGCTCGCCCGAGTCGGGGTGGGCCCCCACTGCCTCGGGCCCCATGCCGGGCCCGCCCGGGGACTCATGCACGGGACTGGCTTCCTCTGCCTTTGCCAGCTGCCGCACCAGCTTCGCCGGCTGTGCCTTCTTTTTGGACATGCTGCTGTCGCTCTTAAGACACCTGGCTTCCCCCTTCTGTGCAGCTTCGTGGGCCAGCTCTTCGTCTGTCGCCACAGAAGCGAGCTGCTCACCACCATCCGGGCAAGGTTCTGTCAAGTCACTTCTATAGCCATCCAGCGTATTTGGTTCAAGCTTGATGTCGGAGGTCTCCTTCAAGGTCATCCTCGTCCTCATGGACCGCCTGGTTGTGTAGGTGCAGGGGGCGCCCTCCACATGTGAAGGGGTGCCTCGCTCCGAGTTCTGTCTGTGCTCTCTCGCCGCGTGTCTGGTTAAGCACCCACTGGCCACCGTGGCCTCCACTGGTCCCTCTGGCTCCTTCTCTTTTTTAATGGGCAAATTTTTGTAGAGAACGACTTTAGGCTCTTTCAGTACCAAGTTTCCCATTTCGAGTTTTCTCGAAGCACTCTTCGGCTCTAGCCGTTTGCAATGATTTCTTAATTTTATCTTTGATAGTAAAGGCTTTGCAGGTTTTTTCAGTTTCTTTGGTACCCTGGAATTATTTATAGGAGTTAGCTTAGATGAGGTAGAGTTGGAAGAAGCTGGAATTCTTGACATAGATTGCCTTGTTAATGTTCTGCTCTTGCTGTTCTTTTTTACACCAACTGAAGATTTTCGGTTAGAAGCTGTAAAGTTAAAAGAAAAAATAAGGGTGAAAAACAGTCTTGGTAACCCAGTAATGTTCAACAAAACAATGCCAACACCCAGACGATTAGCTGTGAAGTGTTTCAATTCCACACACAGGTGGTACACAGGCCCCAAGTGAGCTTCTGTCTGCACACAAGCAATTCCTACAGTTTTTCTTTACGTTATCCCTCTAATTTCTGCCTCTAACTTAAGAAGCATTGATTTACGTTCCAGGGAAGTAAACTCAGGGTTAAAGGGTTCTTAGCACAGCAAGGACCTAGATTTCATTCTAAGCTTGTCAGGACACTAGTCCAACCTGAGAATTTCTTTTCCTGATTTAATATTTTACTGCAGAGAGCATCTGAAATAAAGCTAAGCAAAACCAGTATTTTTTTCGTTCACAAATTCTTCTTAAACTCATCATTTAAAATGTTTCCATTATTCATTAACTCAGAGCATAGTACTTGACCAGTAATCCAGAACAGCAACACGTGACTAAAGGGCTCCACAAGACAAATTCTATTACAATGTCTTCAACTGAGAAAGAGATCCTAAGAACCATACGCAGAATGCCAGGCTGGATGAATCCCAGGCTGGAATCAAGACTGCCAGGAGAAATATCAACAACCTCAGATACACAGATGACAGCACTCTAATAGCAGAAAGATGAACTAAAGAGCCTCTTGATGAGGGTGAACAGGAGAGTGAAAACACTAAGACTCAACATTCAAAAAACTAAGAACATGGCATCCGGTCCCATCACTTCATGGCAAATAGAAGGGAAGAAAAGTGGATACAGTGCCAGATTTTCTTTTCTTGGGCTCCAAAACCACTGTGGATAGCAGCTGCAGCCATGAAATTAAAAGATGCTTTCTCCTTGGAAGGAAAGCTATGACAAACCTAGACAGCATATTAAAAAGCAGAGACATCACTTTGCTGACAAAGGTTCGTATAGTCAAAGCTATGTTTTTTCCAGTGGTCGTGTACCGATGTGAGAGCTGGACCATAAAGAGTGACTGCTGAAGGATTGATGCTTCTGAACTGTGGTGTTGGAGAAGACTCTTGAGAGTCCCTTGGACTGTAAGGTCAAACCGGTCAATCCTAAAGGAAATCAACCTTGAACATTCACTGGAAGGACTGGTGCTGAAGCTGAAGCTCCAATACTTTGGCTACCTGATGCAGAGCTGACTCACTGGAAAAGACCCTGATGCTGGGAAAGACTGAAAGCAAAAGAAGGGGACGACAGAGGATGATGGTTAGACAGTATCATCGACTCAATGGACGTGACTAGGAGCAAAATATGGAGGACAGAGGAGCCTGGTGTGCTGTAGTCCATGGGGTCTCAAAGAGTTGGACACAACTTAGCAACTGAACAAGAACCACATACTGTCACTCCCAGTAGATATTTACCCCAAATACCACACTGTTGAAGCTGTTCCCTTCAGGGCTGTGAGCACCTGCAGAGACTCTGAGGCTGCAGGGTTTAGCTCACCCCATCCCTCCAGTGACTGCCCGCTGCTGACTAGACTGAAAGAAGGACGAGTGACACAGCTGCAGTCACACTCGGGACGGGGGACCCAAATTTCTCCCTCTGGACGAGGACCCCAAAAGGCTGCAACAACCCCCCTGGGGACAAAACCTGGAAACTAGTATGCCAGCTGAAGGGCTTCTCGAAAGGCTTACATGTGACTCAAGGCTAAGCTCCCTCCATGGTGAACCTCTGACCTTGCCGCTGACTTCCTGCCTTCTGTTTTTCTCTCTGCTTACACACTGGATCTGTATTTATAGTGTTTTACAGGAGCCCTTTTCTCCATGACTTCGTCTGCTTCCCATCCCCCACCTGAAGACCTCTTCCCATCAAAATACCTCTTTAAATCATTTACTAGGGATGTTGAGATGACCACACTAATACTCACCACCTCTTAGCAGAAAACAGAATGAAAACCAGTTTACTATGGGTAAGCCTAGGACATTTCCCAACAAGACTATCATTCATTCCATGCTGGGGGTCGCCCAGGGCAACTGCTGTTCCTTCTGCATGGCTGAGCAAGTTAGGTTACCATTAGGTCATTTTTATTGAGAGAAGCAAGAATGCCTAACGGAGTTTCCAAAGTATCAGACCACCAAGAATAGAAGTCTCTGTACTAAGGAACTGGTTCATAAGTGGCTTTGGGATCTCCAAACAGCACAATCCCAGGAACAATATCCCCTGACTGAACTAAGAATACACTTCTCCCTGCAGGCTGCCACCAGCGAGGCAACTTATTTTTGGAATAGTAGTAGCAGTAAAGGTTGGTGCCACTCAACTTGAGAACCATGGTATCATGAACTGGAGTTACCTAGAACTTGCCAGAAATAACTTTTAAAGTATGAGGATATCCAGGGAACCCTTTTGCTCAAAGACTTCCTTGTGCTCATAGGGCTTCCTACAAGGTGAGTGGAGGTGTGCTTATTGATGGGAACGCCCCAGGGTGCCGGTGTCCGTCCGTCTCACTGTGGCTGCTGGGTGACCTCTCTCCGTGGCTCTTCAAGGACCGTGCTATGCTCAAGCTGCTCGTTTCAGACCTGCAATCACTCCTCCGCAATGATCACGTACTTCTTGTATCCTTGACAGCAATCCCCCTGCAGTCTGGATCCAGTTTATCGCCCTCAAGAAAGAGCTTTGGACAATCTCTCTCACAGTCTCCTTGCCATGAAAACCCATGAAGACGTTTCAGCTGGGACCTTTGCTGTTTCTCTGCAGGAGACACTGCGAGCCACTCTTCTTCCTGAACGGCCCTCCTTGGCTGTTCACAAGAGCCATCCCCTGGCTGTCCCGCTGTGTCCCTGACAGGCTTCCTCCAGCTGCCCCGTGGCCTGCACTCCGTGACCTGGACCCTTTCAAAACTCAGTCTCCCAGGGATAAGTGGCCCCTCTGTCCCGGCTGTTCACACTGACATGCTGACAGTTCCCATACCATGTTCTCTAGCTCAAATCCCTCCTTAATTAGATTCACCTTACCCCTTGGACCTTGATCTCCCTCTAGGGTGGTCTCATAAGCCCCTCACAAGCCAACATGCCCAAAGGGAACTCACCACCAAGCCTCATGCTCCTCCTCCTGCTCTCCATCTGGTTCAACACCACCACCAGGCAGTCAGCTGCCTGAGCAGAAACAGGGAGGTTATCCCTGATGCCAGCCACCACATCTCCAGGAGTTCACTCCTGCACTGTGGTTGGACCCACCTCCCCTCCATTCCCAATGCCACCGTTTCCTGCCGTGACTCTGGCACCAGCTCCTGCCTGTCCCTGCCCCCTACTGCTTCCCCAGCATTCCACTCCCCACCACAGCCCAGGGTGATTTTCCTGGGACTTCTGGTCAGCTCTGGGCTTGAAACCTTCCCGTAACCTAAGACCTAAGAATAAAGTCCAAAATGTTCAATTCTAGTCACATCCCTTCTCTTCCAGCCTTGATGACCCTATCGACTCAAACCCTACACTGGTCTTCATGTCCTCATTTGGGACGGGCCCTCTGCTCTGAGCACAGTCCATGTGGCCAACTTCTCACCCCCTTTCAAGACTCAGCTCAGCAAACATCTCTCTCAGGAAGCCTTTCATGACTCCTCACAGCACCTGAGGTTCTCCACACTCGGCACTTCCTTTTAAGCCCTGGATGAATCTCACTGTGGTGATTCTGAATCTCGGCTCTCCCCCTTGCACCCCTCCTTTCAGGAGGCTGTAAGGTGACTGCAGTGAACCACTGACAAAGCACTTTAGTACGTCTGTGTTCTAAAGAGCACAACAGAGACTGTAGGCGATGCTACCTCTTTTTGCCGTAGAGTTCACTTACATATTTATGTATGTATTGGTGTATTCTCATTTCCTTTGAAAAGTATTCTCTTATCAAAAGCCCAGCTCCAAGGTGTACTCAAGTCAAAGGACAGAAACAGCACAGCTGGTGAGACAGCTGTGAGTAATGGGACCAAGTGCCCAGGGCTCTTCACCGTCCCGCGGAGGCGCCGCCACCCTCTCTTGCACGGGGAGTGCCAGCAACAGCAGGCTGAAGGAGAGGCGCTGAACTAAGAAAAGTCTGTCAGGAGACTAAAGATCCTGACACAGTGGAGGCGGGCAGGGCAGGGGCTCCCCTGGCTTCAGCACTAACACCCCATGTGGTACCCTTCCCTCACGGGGGACAAATCCCAACCGCATAAACCTGGACAGTGCTTTGGGGTGGAGACACCACCCTTAGCCATTAGTATATACTAGGTACAGTGCAGGATGGCCAAATTAGTATGACCTGAATCCTAATAAGCATTCTTTGAGGTAAGAGCTATTACCCTAAGTGAAAACCAGGGTCACATGGACTCACGTGCCTGTCAAGAGTGTCCATCTGGTAAGGGGCAGAGATGGGATTTGAACCGAGGTTTCTGGCTTGATGGTGACCACACGTCAGGTGGCCTCTAAGGCACACCACTAAGCTATCCTGAGGCCAGTGCTAGCTCCTGGTAAAGGACCTGCAGTGTGGCCATCATGGTGACCTCAGGGTGCCCTCAAAATCATCAGGCAGCTCTGCGTGGGGTTCAAGAATGACAGCCAGGAACAAGTGCAGGGAAACGATGCCAAAGCACCCGATGGTTTGGGCTCTATCTATGCTCTGCACTGGAAGAGCCCCAAAAACACACACAGTGGGGCCAAGGGAACATGAGGCCTCACACAGCTTGAGATGTTCACAACAGGGGGTCAAGGACTTCAGTTCAAGGAATTTATCAGGCACCACAAGCAGGCTCCACCTCACGGGACCACCATGGGCATGTCTGCCGGGAACAGGGTGTTGGAAAGGATTAGGAAGCAGCCTGTAGGCTCAGCAGAAAAGAGCATTCAGATTCACTAGTGATGTCTGTGGTGGGACAGACAGTGACAAGTGGTGGCCCAGTCCGTCTCCAGGATGGGTGCTCCTCAGTCATGCTGAATGAGATGATTCCGCTGGGGGGAGTCCTCTGGGACTTGCACTCACATCCTGAGGCAGCACTGTGGGCAGTGGCCTAGCCCCTGAGGCACAAGAGCCAAAAAACCCAGAATCTTCTAGTAACAGCGTATAGTTCAGGTCTGTGGACTGATTCTGTGAAAATGGATCTCGTCTCCTCTCTGGATGCTAAAGCAAACAGTCAAGTTGTGGTTCTTGAGAAGATTCCAAAACAGGAGCTGCATGGAAGGAAGAAGTAATTTTTTCTTCCAACTAGGCAGAAATGTTTAAGAAGAACATGTATGTTGTTCAAAGAAAGCAGTTCCTCTCCAGCTGTGAGCTGCTGAATTCTAAGCAAACCGTGGGACAAGATGGGTACTTCCAACCTGTACACCTAAGATTTGCCCATGCCACCCAGGAGAAAGGCTGGGCAGCTCTGGCCTTGCACCCACTGCAGACTCAAAAGGTCCTCCTTTCAACAGGTAGAGGAGCATGGTCAAGACACAAACACCAAAAGAAATACGGCCTAAAAGAACACTTGGCAGAGCCTGAGAAATATTGCTACAAATATACTTAGTGAACAAGGTTCTCAGAGATGGCTGGAGTAAGCCTCGAGCTCCTTCAGAGCCCCTGGCCATGTCCAGTAATGGTCTCATGATCCTCACAGTTACTTACGCCAGCTCTTGAATTACTCAAGACAACCATTTTGTAGAAAGGTAATCTGAATAAAGGAAGCACCCCAATATGAGCAGTCACAGTAAAGTGCTAGTTCTAGTCCGTAATGCTGAGACTACTGCTCAAAGGATTACCTGCTCCCTCCAGCCTTTACGAAGTGGCATGTAGTCCTCAGAGTTACTGTGTACTGGTCCGGTTCTGGAGCTGAGGCCTGAAGTCCCTGACAGAAGGGCCTGAGCCTCACGCACTTTTCTATCTCTTTAACAATAGCAGACTTTGAACACGTATTTGGTTTATTAACATATATTCCCTAGATGGTCACATAATAGAACACTCAGCACCTTCCAAAATTTTTTCCCCTATTTTGATTTTTTACACTAAGTGGTATACTGAGTTCAGTACCTGCACATCAGTTAACAGAGTTAATGTATCAGAACATGAAACAGCCCAGCAACGCCACAGAGCTGTGTGGACAGCGTCAGGGCCATCTCCACTCGCGGGGGCGGCTCGCTTTTAAGTGTTATCATGTAGACACTTTATACAAGGGGCTTCAAAGTCTCCAGTTTCACCAAGGAACCAGACTCAGAAAACAAAATGTTGATTATGCTGCATTTATTATTAAAACCAACAGTCAACAGTGAATGACAAACTAACTGCTCTTTTGGGTTCACTCTGGACGTTAAAGACTGAAGAGGAACAGAGCGCTGCCTCCCACACTACAGAGGGCAGCCCTGGCCTCCAACTCCAGCAGCAGGCTGATTCAGAAACTCGTGGCAGTGACACGCATCATCATGGGAGACGCCGTCCCTTCTCTCTGGGACTTTCTGTAGCAGAGAGCACCCAGAGGTGGCTCAAAACATCAAATGACAGGAAAAAGAGTCTCAAAGAGTCAGACCTCAGAGGGTACTTACTGCTCAGAAGTATGTACAGACATTTACAGTGCCAAAATAGGCATATTCTGGGGACTATCAAGGTAAAACTTTTAAATTTTCTTCCTATCAGAGACAAGAAAGACTGGAGAGCCTACTGCTTTAGTGGCCACTAGAGCAAACTCGTGTCACCCAGATGAAAACCAGTAGTGATCAGAATGGTTCCAGGATGTCAAAGCTCCACAAACATGATGTGTTTTCTTATGCTCATTTGGGATTTCTTCTTTCTTTTCTCTTTATTCTTCATTCTCTTTTTCCAGTTTCCATTAGGTCTTGCCCCCACAAGCCACTGGGATCTTAAAGCTTCTCCCCTTCTCCTTTCCACCTCTCTTCCCACTTTCGGCAGTGGCTATGACAACTCGTCACAGTACAGTGACATTCAAACTGCTGCTCTACCACAACTCTGAGTCTGGGGACTGGTGGCTTGGCAACTGGGTCAGTTCATTCTGAAAATGGCAAGTGGGTAGTAAAAAGGTGGAAGCCTTGAGACCAAAAGCTACGAAGCCCCCACGTCCATCATCCCTGCTAACAGACTGGTCAGTGCAGAACAGGCAGTGCCTGTGTGCTGCTGCCCCGGCCTCTGTCTTCTTGCAGACCTAACAACACTGTTACAGAGACTAACACCGTGACAGCTTTCTGTCAAACATGCCAACCCTGGAACGCATGACGAAGAGATTTAGCGTCCCGTTACCAAGTATTCAAGACAAGCAGACAATTCAGCACCATCTGAAATCTGGAGGCTTGAGAGACTGCTTTGTGCTTGAATCACTTCTAGAACCTTGCAGTGCTGGTGAAGTACACGAATCCCAGGGCTGCTCTCAATGTTCAAAAGATCAAAGCTACTAAAGCATGCTTTAGAAAGCAAACTCTGTGAAAATACTTAAGAAAAAAAAAGATACGCTTATCAAACCTCCCTTACTTACTTGCATTGTTTTTTTCCTGAGTGGTATCTGCATCAGTGTTAGAGCTGACAGATTGACTGTCTGAATTTTTGCTGCTGTCACCTAACTTTTTAAGCCTATTTAAACGTTTATCTGTTTCTCTGAGTCCGTATTTGCTATTGATAACAGGAGCAGGCGCAGGCAGTCCCACTCTGGATTTAAAAGCACCAGTTCCCCGTCTGAAAAAGAAACAGCACAGGTTACACAAACAGCATACTCACTGCCGTCAGCCTGGTTGCTGAGAGCACCTGTCCACATCAGGTCAGCAGGTGAGATGAACTGATGAGGTTTAATCATCATTGCAAGCTGCCAAGTCTAGGACTCTCAAAACAAATACGGAGATAAAATTAATGCCCCAAAGCCCCAGACTTAAAACACTTTGTTAAGATGACTGTCAATCACTTGAGAAGGTATTGGACCCTGCAGAATTTCAAGTGTAGGTAAAAATAACACACCTGTTAATTATACCCTAGCTTTGTTCTGCATAATTTAATGCTCCATTACTGAATATTGAGAATGAAGGAATTAAAAGAGAAACTAGAGAATTTCCATAAACTAAGCTATTACTTAGAAGATAATGTTACAGACAAATAAATTCTAACTGAAATTTTATATTAGGAAGGCTAGGCTATCTTAGTGAAAATCTCACTTCTGGAATAATGAAAACTGTAAAATTCCTCCTTTAAAGTTACTGGATGAACATCATTAAGTTAACAAAATGTTACTAAATAAGAGACATTAAAAGACCTGCTTTTACCACTAGCTAAAAATGATTTGTAACCTGCTTTTATTATTCCTATCGTTGTTTAGTCGCTAAGCCATGTCTGACACTTTTGCCACCCCATGGACTGTAGCCCTCCAGGCTCCTCTGTCCATGAGATTTCTCAGGCACGAACACTGGAGTGGGTTGCCATTTCCTTCACCAGGGCATCTGCCTGGCCCAGGGATCAAACCTACATCTCCTGCATAGGCAGGTGGGTTCTTTACCGCTGAGCCCAAGATGGGCCATACTAATTACAAAACAAATAATCATGGATAGGATTATCTGGAAATTAATTTTTTAAAGTAAAAGGACTATTCACGTGCTTCTCTACTTCCTTGATTTCTTTTTAACTTAGGACAGTGATATGCGCTTGCTGCAACAGGTGAGACCACCTCTGGCTCTGCCTCCCCAAAGCGAAGTTCCCCGAGCTTCCCGGCCACCTCTATGCGCAGAGCCCCAGCACCTATGTTAACCACCTGCCTGCGCCTCATCTGCTGCTCGGCCGCAAGCTACACACCTAGACCCACTGTTGCTTCTCCTTAAGCGGAAAAAAAACCCCCAAATAGGTAATACCACACATTCAACTCAGGAAGCAGCTTTCCTCCTTTCCTTCTACCCCAACTCTTATCGCTATATTGTGCACAAGCACTTCTGAACTCCACATGTTTTGAAAGCTGTACCTTTTACACAGACTAAACATACCATAATCTATTCAAGCACTAGATGGTGATGACTGAAACCTGTCGGTGTTTTGGTGTCTGCTTGCCACCATGAACACTGCTGCTACGTTGTTCTTGAAACCAAATCCACACTAACTAGTGCTCCTATTTCCACAGGACAGATCCTTCCATATGGAATTGACTGCCAGATAAAAGGGTGCTATTATTTTGAACAAATATTGCCAGAAGGAGTTCCCAAAAGGTTAAAGTACTTTACAGCCCTACTGACATTGTGTGAGGGCTGGTCTCTCCATAGCCTCAGCCGCAGCACAGAGTGCACTTCTAAACGTTACCAATTTGATGGTGAAAACGAATACCTAGCTATTGTTTTACTTACCTCGTTTACAGCTATCATTTTCCGTGTGGCATCCTCCATACCCCTCTTCTCCAGTGGCGTCTACCTCTTCTTTATGAGCTCTAGGAGCTTTTTGTCCTTAGGATATAACTTGGCCATATGTGTGCTTTTCCCTCCCTTCAAGTTTATCATTTATCTAACTTGCTTTTGGCTATTCAAAAATGTTCATATTCACCATTTCTTATACTAACTTCTTTCAGAAAATTCCACTACCCCAAGTTTAGACATAAAAGTCTCCTAAAATTTTTCTAATCACTTTACATAATTTTTAAATTGACAATTTTAATCTATTTGGAATTTATCTTGTATATGGTATGAGATGGGAGGTGAGCTTGGTTTTCTTCCAGACCCATCATGAATTATACCACCACCTTTTATTAGAGAAATCATCATTTCCCTACAATGGCATAAGATCTCACACATACCGAGCTCTGCTTCAGGACTCGTTCATGTCCTCTTACCTATTTGTTCATATCTGAGCCAGCATCATTAGGTTTTGAACTCAATTATCTCACAGTAAATTTTAATACCTATTAAAGCAAACTGCCCCTAAGTATACTTCAAAATGTGGTTGTCATCAGACAGACTTTCATATACTTTAAAATACTTCGGTCCTTCATATACTTTTCATACTTTAAAATACTTTGGTACTTCATATTCTTCAATCCCTCATTAGATTTTATTCTTCAAATTCTCGAGTTACATTTGCACTATCTACTTATGAAAAGTATTACTATTGTGTCAGGATGGTTACTGCCCAGAAGCATGCATCAAATATCTTCTGGACACTGCATCCACGATGTCAAGGCCTGGTAAACACTCCACTCTCCCAACTTCACCGGCCCCGTCTTCACCCCTCAGCAGCCAGCACACCGTGTCTCTCCCTTCACAGCACTGCTCTCATAGCTGGCACTGTGCTAGCCTCGTTTACCCTGCCTGGACGAGGTCTAACCTGAGAACTATTCAGCAACTCGAAGATGAATAACTGAAAGAGTTCCTCTGACTGGTCTCATTCTCTCGCCTAATTTCTGGAAAGGCAGAAACAATTTGTTCCTGAGGATTTCAAGAATATTCCCAGACAACCTTTAAATCAAACTCCCCAATAGTCTGATAATAGCTGTGCCCACTGCTCCGTATGAGGCCTTTCCACTTATAAGCGATTTGCACCTTTCTATTTATCTCTTGCACTAACCCTGTGGAGTAGGCAGGATCAGCCCACCTGACCTGTGAGAAACAGTCTCAGGGAGAACTAAGCTGCCCAAGGAACATGCAGTCCTGAACTAGTGAAAGAGCTGGCTCACGGCTGGTGTGGATTCCTGTGTATGCGGTTACATTTTGTAGGAAGACTCCTAAACATATTCAGTGTATCATTTACTCCATTCCTTCACTCACCAAACAGTTATCAAGCACACAGTTATCACTACATGTCAGGTACTGTTTTGGATGCTGGCAACATAGCAATAAACGAAAAAGATAAAAATCTCTGCCTTCATGGAACTTACATTCTAACAGGAAAATGATCAGAAACCACAAAATACTTTTACATCTAACACCTGAATATTAACTGTGTGTTTTATATACTTTTTGTGAGATAATTTTAATCCTCACAGCAACCTTATGATACCCTAGTGTTATCTCCATTTCACAGATGGTGTAATTAAGGCACAAAAGCAGCTAAGCTGCCCAAGATCACACAGCTAATAAAATGTAGAGTCATAGGATTCCAACTTAGGGAGTCTGATGTCAGACCTCAGCTCTGTCTATACCATGTTGTCTCTACAAAATGGTTTTAAGGCATTATTTGACTGTAATTAAACGACTTCATGGGTTAAAGGGTCTTTCTGTGGCCTGGCCTAAGATTTAACCGGTCTGAACCATTTTTGTAATTTATAAAAAGATAAATTTTATCCCCCCCCACTCCCAACCCCCCTTTCCTGCCACCCTTTCAAGTCAAGGACCCGGGAGCTGGGAGAGAAACAGCTGGGGCTGTGCCATGGCTCCACCCTCTGCTCTCAAGACACAAGAGGCCGCTGGCTGACCAGGAAGGAGATAGGGCCGAGCCCTGGGGAGCCAGCACGCCTCCCAGGGCTGGGGGCTGGCAGCTGGTGCTCACGGTGAGAGAAACGCAGCGCACCCATCTTTGCTCCCGCGTCCAAAAAACATGAAGTGGCGAGAGCGCAGGCTCTGAGTCAGGCTGAGCCGGGCCTCTGAACCTGCAGCGTGGCCGCTCTACCATTCTCTCCCAGGACAGCTGAGGACTGAGTCCAGGAGAGTAAAGCACCCGGAACCTCACACAGCACGTACAATGGGTTCAATAAACCTAGGTGTGCTCACCTGAAGAAGAATGTGTATATACATACACACACACACACAAGTATAAATGAACCACCGTGCTGTACAGCTGAAACTAACATGACTGCCAATCAATTACACTTCAATTAACAAACTAAAACAGTAACAAAAACCAAATGCAGGAGTGCTCCCCACGGGGCTACGCCAACCCAGACAAGCCTGGGAAGCTGCCTCCGCGAGCTCTAGACACGTCGCCACCAGGAGATGCGCGGTGTGGACAAGGAGTCCTGCTCAGTCAGATGTGGAGGGTTTCCACAAGGACCCGTCTTGATGTGTCACAAAAGGAAGGTCCTCATCAAGCTGGAGAACTCAGAAATCGCGAAGAGCATGTGCATCAAAACATAGGACTTCCAGAAGACACAGCCTGGGGTTTTTAAATGATTATCAGTGGAGAATCTCACCTGCCATTCTGGAGCAAGCCCACCCCGGAACTGTGTGTGTGTGTGTGTGTGTGTGTGTGTGTCCCACTCTCTCCTGAAGCATATCTATATTCTGACTCACTCATAAGGGGAACAGCTGGGAATGATTTTAACGTTTTAAAAGGCCAGGCGCTGGTGCCCTTAAATAGTTCTGTCTTCTCTGGTTTTGCTCCTGTCTGCTGTCCTGGGTGTGACGCTACAGAACACAGAAGACGATCCCTGCCACCTAAATGATGAGAAGACGGCGTGCACTCATTCTCACAGTCGCCAGGCAGTAATCGATCCTTTACCTTTCACAAGTGTAGCACTCGCAGAACTCATTGTTTTCTCCGAAAAACCCATCTCCATAATAGCAAGAAATTTCTTCTCCAGGTTCAATATCTCTCAGGGCCTTCACACATGCTGTATCTCGGCCGGTTGACACAAACTGAAATAAAATGAACTCATTAAGAGACGCATACCTGAAGCAAAGATAAAATACTTGAGATAAAGTATTTTTTATGCTTACCTTACAGTTAGGTCTGCAATCTGAAAAATGTCCAAAAGATAAAGTCAATTAACTGTAGATAAGATCTGAAACACGAACAATTATAGAAATCTGAAATAAGCTTTCCACATAATTTTCCCAATTTTTGATAGAAGTTTTTGATCTCGAGTTAAACTATAGGAATACTAATTTTCTTAAGTTTGTGCAAAAAGAATTTCCATTTCCAACCCTGCTTTAAAGGAAGACAGATAAGGCTGCTCTCAGTTATAGCAGCGCTACCCGACACCAGAGCTAACGCCTTGGAAACAGAGCTTACCGTGGTTTATAAACGCAGCGGGACCAAGCCAGAGCTGGGCACAGTTTTTCCGTGTGGAATACATGACACTGAAGTCGTTTTCTCCATGTCTAAGCAGCATGTTCTCCTCAATTTCTGAAAGTTCGGCAATACAACCCACCAGTAATTCTATTTTGTCATTTCGTTTCCTATTTAAAATATGTGATGGTAAAAATTACTAGTAATTATAAATAATAAGGCTTCTTTTAATAAAATAAGCCTGTCCAATAAATACCAGGAACTGAGAAGACCTAGCTGTGCGTGTTTTAACTGACTCACGCGGACCGCACCTGGATACCATCTCCTCTTCCCTGAGCCCCGCAGCCTTGCGCAGCTGCCTGATCCCTACAAGAGACCAGAAGCGCTGCAGGCATCGTGCTACCTACACCTCTGAGGCCCCTGTGCCCTGCAGGCAGGGAGGACTCAAAGCGCCACTGCTCTGGGCCCAGCTTGCTGAGCCTGGGGAAGGACACAGAGGAGCAGCAGCGCAGGGCCAGGGGTGCCCAGAACGGGGCGCTGCCCTTTGGAGCAGCGCCAGCCAAACGCAGTGCGAGCCCGACACGCACCAATCTAGGGGCTGTGGGGAGAGAGCAAAGTGGGACTGGTGAAAGCACTCGCAGCAGTATGTTCTAACCCAATACAACCCAAATGCTCTTTCAGCAGGTCAGAAGTATGAAATACGAGTGAGAAACACAATATAAAATCTGACATGTTTACCGCAGCTGCAGCGCTTCTCAACTCTGGAAGACCAGCCACACTGCAAAAGTCCAATAGCCACGCATGACTGGGGGCCACTGTCCTAGATGGTGCAGTTCCAGAACTCAAGACCTCAAACCTCACATCCATCTGCCAGGCAGCGAGCCACGAGAGCCCAGCAGCAGGCTGGGTACCATCCCACGGCAGACAGACACTCTCGCTCACGTACATACACATATTTTTTTCAAGAGGCCAAGAGTCAGGCTCTTTAACGTTCCATTTTCAGGTAACTGACCCTAACATTTTTGCTATAAAAAATGTCGGGGGTCATATAAGAGGGGGGCTACAGGTTTCTTCTGGGAGGTAAGGCAGGGAATAGGCCTTCTTTCTAATGAAGAAAGATATAACCACATACTCTCTTTCCTGTACGGCTTTCATCCCTCCTACCTGGGGTCAACTGTACTACATTTGAGCTGGCACATACCTGTATTTTTAGGAGGCAATGTGCTAGTAAGATTTTACACATGAAATTCCTTGGACCATTAAAACTTCATACGTAACCTTTCTTACAGGCCAGTGAAGGATTGATTCTGGAAGCTAGGTTATCTAAGCCTCACACCCCTAACCTTCCAGCAGTCCCTGAACAGGCATCTGGACTTGTTAAGAGGAAAACACAAGCACCTGGCTTAGAAGTAGGACCTGGTTCAACTCAGACTCCAACTCACCACTGTCCCAACCCCAAGTCACGGGGCTGAGGCGCTGGCCTTGCACTGGCTTCTTTAGGGTGAGCTCTGGTTTTAGCCCTTCCCACAGCTTTCTTAGCACAGGAATGGTAATTTGAGAGAGAACTTTAAACAAGATTATTTTATGGGTTTACACTAGTATAATAGTTACCACTCTTTCGTTGCAACTATTTTGGCTCCATTTTGTTCTGAAGAGTATCTATTACAAGGCAATATTTCAAATCCACTGTCAGTTGCAAACATTCGCAAATAAATAAATACCTAAAACAGAAAAAAAATTTTTGACACTTACTTCACACTAAATTATTTATCTTGCTAGACTCTCAGAATTATAAAAGCAAACCACCACCATCAATGAAAAAATTTAAGATTAAGTAATAAATATTGTTATTTTAAAATTTCACAAATTTGTATACATGGTGACTTGGCTATGTTACTCTAAAAGTTCACAGAAAGTTTCACTTCTAGACAATGTAGTTTTCTCTATGGATAGTCATAAATTATCTAATGTGTTATTAGACCATATTAATTAGTTTTATGAAAACTGGATTTAAAATTTCAGTGTTCACTAAAATTTACATTTTAGTTTCCTTTAATCTTATCCAAACATAAACAGTATTAATTTTTTCAATAAACTCACATGTTCCTTGAATAATTTCTCCTGCATTTTGTTCTTGTTGAGAAAATAGTGCCGTGCCCATTCTCCTGAAGTCAGACATTTGAAGGCTTTCTCCAAGTGCTCATCTTTCTTAAAACGTTCAATAACTTCTTTGAGTTCTTCCTGCCTTCCTTTAATAGGCCGAAATCTGAAAGAAATCAAAACAACAACGTCAGTTATCTTCCATCATCCCTGAGCCACTGCTAAAAGAGCTTGAGAAAAAAGTAACCTAAAAACAACAACCAGACCTAACAAGAGAACAATAAGTAATCTGGATAATGAGTACTAAAGTAATACTGATCACCAAGAAATATAACTTCCCTTCCTCAAACTGTACTTAGTATTTTTATTTCACTGTTATCTCATTAACCAAGAGGTGACCAAGTGATTCAAATGAAAGCTAATTCAGACTTTTAACTGTCATCTAATTTGGGAGATACAAAATAAGAGATCTAGGATAGAGTTCATCTAATTGAGTTGGAAGGACAAGAATTTTTTAAAACATGAGGAATCAAGCCAGAAGAGTGCAGTGCACTGAGGAAGGATGAAGTAAACAAAAACACCCTCTATGTACAGAGTTAGAAAAACCCCAAACTAAGCATCCTGACAGGTCTTGAAACACACCTGGATGTTCCACCAGCCACATCAACGTAGTCTGTGATAACTGCATTCCAAGAACAAACACTGTGCAAGAGTACAACTTGAGAAGTGGTGCTGTTGTGGCGGTGATGGAAGGAAAAATTGCTGGGGTAAAATTTCAGAAGGCATCTATGTAAAATCAGCTATAATGACTTCAGAACACTACATGGCCAGGCACGTCAAACACACGATACAGTCATGGCCCAAGTAAAATTTAAGTTTTACTCATTTTAAAGCTATGTTCTCAATAAAATGTGCACTATGACTAAAAGTTCTTGGAGCTTTAACTTCAAAATTTCTTCTCATATTAATGCAGTTTATTTTTCAAAATAAAGCTTTTTAAAAAACTAACATCCAACAAAAAAAAAAAAGGAATTACAGACTGCTCTTCAAGAAAAATACATTAAGATTCAGTAAGATTTTAAGCCACAATATTTCACCAAGGATTATCTTTAGGTGCTGTGCATACAGGTACTATGGTGAAAAATATAAGCTAGAAGACAGGGCTACTGTTCTAGGGAAAATTTTGCTGGGACTGAGAGACATATCTGTGCGTCAGAGAAGCAAAGGTCAATGTGCAAATACACATCAATGTGGCACAAACAACACTGCTGCAGCACTTCGAAGCGTGGAGATTATCCCTTAAGCATGGTTTGGGGCTGACACTGAGATGGACAATGAAGAAAGTGGTGAATTTAGATTTCTAAAGAGAAAACAGAGTATTACTAGAGGCAGGAAGGAATGAGAAGGAGGAAGGCAAAGGAGAGAACTAAGCAGAGGACCTAAGCAGAAATTCTAAGGCTTGATTCAAAGAGATGACCAGGGCTGAGGGAGTCAGCCGGCGAGCAACAGGACAAGGAATGTTCTACAACAAGGAAGTGGGACCTTGCGAGGAACAGAATAGGTATAATACAATTTACTGGGCAGGATCTTCAGAGGCCTTCAGGTGGGTGAGCACACTGACACCTCTGGAAACTCATGAGCCCCAGACTCCAGGGTTAGGAAGCTCTCACGACTCCTAACAGAAGGATCCAAAGGAGCTCTAGAGATGGCCCATGAAGCAACAATGCCTTATTTTATTTCCCATTTCAATCAGTTAGCACACCAGCCCTCACAGACAGATGAGTGGAAGTCCTCTGGACAATTCAGAATGTCTTTAACTAGACTGTCAGACTATGGTGTCAGACAATCACTAAAACACAGATTTGCAGAACTGTGAAAGTATTCAAACTTCCACACAGTTATAGTATTAAACTACTTTTGAATTGCAGCTGTCACAAGTGATTTTGTCAACACTGGGTTTCACTACGAAACCCAAACTAAACCCTTCTGGCTGCAACCCTGCACTATGGGGTTATGTGCATATGAAGGACAGATAAGACCACCCAGCAGCTGTTAGCTGAGGTACACCACTCCAGGCAATACCAAATGATGGGGAACAGAAACTCACATTTTGCACAGTAAAGAGAAAAGCAAAAGTTCCCTCTGAGCAATAATCCATGATGTTAAGTGATGGGGCTACAAGCAATCTTCACATGTTCAATGTAGGACTGACCAATGGTGACACCTGTCAAGTAACTGCATGGCTGCACACATCAGTCAGGACTATATTCACCTTGAGATCTTAAGAACATGACAAAAAATAAGTCACAGACCCGGAACAGACACCAGCTACTCCTGACAGGTTTCATGTGCATTCGCCACTTTCTGAAACTTCCTATCTAAAGACACCTTTCAGCTATCCTTTTGTTTACTCTTTGCTCGTGATGGAAACCCTGAATACTCATTGGAAGGACTGATGCTGGAATTGAAACTCCAGCATTGTGGTCATCTGATGAGAACAGCTCACCCATTGGAAAAGTCCCTGATGCTGGGCAAGATTGAAGACAGAAGAAGAGGGCATCAGAGGATGAGATGGCTGGATAGCATCACCAATGCAATGGACATGAACTTGAGCAAGCTTCGGGGGATGGTGAGGGACAGGGAGCCCTGGCGTGCTGCAGTCCATGGGGTTGCGAGGAGTAGGACACAATTGGGCGACTAAACAACAAAAACAACATGATGCCAAACAATTTATATGCTAAAACCAACACACAACCATCGCTGGAGTTACTAATATTGTACCTTCCACACAACCTGTGACTTTCTTTTCTGCTTTCCTGACTTCTACTGCCTCAAACACAAATAAAACCCCCTAAACTATCCCTTGCTGCCCACTGGACAAGAATCTCCATTTTACTTAAAATGTAATTTACAGTCAAAACTTACTGTCATATTTGGCTGCTACAGGCATGAAATGATAGTGAGGAGGAGGAGGAAGAAAACGGTACTGGGTGGACAGGAAGGGGAAGAGACAGCTGTTTTCGATAACCAGATAGAACATCAAAATCACCTGGCTGACAGTTCAAGTCAAATCCCATTGTAACAAAACTGTGAGGAAATAAAAATTATTTAATAACAAGGCTTTACAACTATCAGGTCCAAAGCAAAAGGCATGGGGGATCTTGGAAAAAATTATTTTTCTATTAAGAAAAATATGTTCTGTCCTCTCCTTAATACAATCACACTAAATCTCCCATACAAACCACTTAAAGCTATTCTACACCATGGCTCCTACAGGTAGAAGAAAATTCACATGATCTAAAAAATTATGTCTGGCTCCACAAATGAGGAAAATAAGGCCCAATGAGGGCTAACTGGTGGAAGGAGCGGACTGTTGCCCAGGCCTTTCTTGGCCTGCTCGCATCTGAAGCATGAGCGCCCTCTTCTGTCCCTTCCCCAGGAGACCGGGTCTGACGTACACTGACAGCTGAGCACCAGCGCCAAGCCCCACCCGCGACGGCGCTGCCTGGTACCCCGACAGCACAGTGAAAGGCGTGGAAACAAACTGAGTATAGGGTGGCGGGGGGGGGGGGGGGGGGGGCGCGGGCAAGAGAAACAGGTTTTTGGCATTTCCAAATCAACACGCCCCTCCTCCCTCTTAATATGACATTTGCAACTTTAAATAAACCAAACATTTATTTTTCTCTTCCCACACTTCTCTGATCCCATTGCCAGTATAGGAATTTTAAAAATATGGCATTTACAATTATTTACTATTGAAAGGGGCAGGGAAAAAACATATGAATTCACACTCCCACACACCTGTTCCCCACTCTTTCCAGAGACTGACTTCCCAGGTTTTCTTGCTATTTGGTTTTTCTGTTTCCAAACCCAAGAGACCACTGTGGCAATGAAGGAAAGCTGCAGGTGTATTAGCTGCACTACTGTGCCCTCCATTAGCATGTACAACCAAGAGCTGACTGGAGGGAGGGGAAAGAGGAGGGGGGACAGAAAAAGGGAGCGAGGGGAGGCGGGAGGAAGAGAGAGAAAAATGCTCAGATATTTAAGATATAAAATAAAACCGTGAGGCAACATTGTGAACACATTCCCCCTCTGAAGAGAGTTTAACTGCAAACTGACATCCGAGATGCTGAGGGGGGTCCCGCTAGGACAGCTCTTCATTCCTTCTCGACCTGGAAGTAAACAACAACCAGAAACATACCTGGCTGAGTCCTGCAATCAGTGCTCAGCTAATCCCATGGAGTGCCTCCTGATCTTTGGATGAATGATTTCTCTTAAAATTACCCTGTTATGGAGTACAAGTTGTTTTTTAAATATAGCTAATACTAAGACCAAATTTTCAAAAGGTTTGCAAAATGTTCTAAAAATTGTGTTTACGCTGACACCTCCAATTACTTAACATAAAAGAACATTATAATGGCTGAAACAAGTTAGTTTGTGTCTTATTACTATTTGTAATGCTCTCTACCTACCTTACAGGGTTGTTGTGAGAAAAACTGTCAGATTTTGAAAAATGCCTTGAGCTCCTCGAAGGAAAGGCGCTATATAAATGCAAAAACAAACAACAATAAAAAACTATTTGTATAATTTGCACTTGTAATTTCTAAACAGACTTACAATATTAGATGTAGCAGAAATCCCTAAAATGCTGTGATATCTAACAACTTGAAGAAGCCACAGGTTGGCTCGAAATGATAAAAAAGGCCAGGAAGCTAAAATTCTTTCCTTCCCACAAAACATTTTATCCTTGATTATACTAAGTTAAAAGTTCAAAAAATTTCTTTATGCTTTCCAGTCAAACACTTGATATTAAAGTGATATTTTAAAGTGATTTATAAGTTCACATTCAACAGTGGATACAAATGATACAACAGTGGATATCAAATATATAAATAATGAAAAAAAAATTAGATGGTTAGTGTAGTGGAATTAGGTAAGTGAGGACTGCGCAGGTGCAAGTCTGTGCAAGCCCTAAGAGGGCTCTTCCTATTTCTTCACAATGTGATGTCCCCCCAGCTCCTCAGGATACTGTGAAATCACTGATCATGTGGCCTGAACAATGGGGCATCACTGACAACATCCATTCCTGATTCACGACCTTCATCTCTCCACTAGCTTTTTAAAAATCATTAGAGGTATTACTAACAACTCTATTTTCTGGTTAAAAGGATGAATTTAAGTTTTATAAGTGACAAAAGTCAACTCAATCAAAACATTTCCTGATAAACTGAAATTACTATTTTGCTTATGCTATTTCTAGGCATTCATGCCACAACTCTGACTGCCATGTTAGTAAATACAGGGATAGGCCAAGGTTAAAATATAACCAATTCATAACATATCCAGTTTGGGAAAATCTCAAATAATTAAACATCTACTGTTTCTGAACAATATTACTAAAGGTACAACTGAAGTAAGTAGAAGGCAGGAAGAGGACATAAAAAAAGAAAAACTAAAATCAAATCACAGATCGATAAACATATGAACAAAGAAGCCACTTATTATAAGTAACAGCCTGGAGAGTTAAAATCCAAGTTCCAATCACATCCTCCAGTCACTTCTTTGCACCCCAAAGAAACAGAAAGTCCACAAAAAAACTAATAATTTCAGAAATATGTATGATTATTCAAAGAAAACACTGCAGAGTTTCCTTACTGTCTATAAAATATCTTTGAAAACCGTGTAAGTGGCATTCTGGCAAATTCTCACTCAGAAGATAGAGAACTGTAAGTGACAGCTTTATTTTCAAATAAACCCACTAAGAATGAATGAAGGCTTCTAGTGAGGCGGAGAGCACCAGTGCTGTGACAGGCACCAACGGCTCACTGCACTGGCCTGAGTGCAAACCCTGCTACTAAGCCAATGCCGCCTAACTAGGGAGCGGCAGCATTAGCTACAGCATCAGTGGCTATTTTAGGAGCTGTTTGAGCAGAATCAAATGAAGCACTGGAAAATAGGAACCTGGGGTGCTTGGATATGGTAAAGATTTAAAGTTTTAATAATATCTGTGTGGTAATCCTAAATTTTGTATTTTAGGACTACATGTCTTAAGATGAGTACCAGAAAACTACTGATAAGGGAGTTTCTACCCACTCACCACATGGAGACAAGGCTCGGCAGGCTTGGTGGTTTGGGACTTTGCTTCCCAAGTGTAACTGGAAGTTTGTGACAAACAGACTCTCAGGCCCCACCTCAGAGCTACTGAATAAGAACCTGCATCTTAACAAGGTTCCCAAGTGATTCATATGTAAGCTGATTATAAGAAGCAGCTGTCCAGGAGGACTTTTACAGAAAAGAGAAACCAGTAACAGGTAACTCTTCAGCCTCGGGGACAGTCAAAGCATGAGGGCTTCAGAAAACATGGAGTTCTTTCCCAAGCCATTAAAACTTTTGTTGTAATTCTGATGGAAAACTTTCTAAAAGTGGTTTACATGCTTCCATATTTTAGGATACAAGGCATAATAAACATGATCTGTTTCTTGATGACTCCAGGCCATAATTATGGGCCCTGGAGGTAATATTCTGAATGCCACTAGACTACTGGGTCAAACAGTGAGTGCATCACTTTTTCTTCCAGGCTAACCAGTGAGTTAAATACTATTAGGACTCTAATAGTAGGAGAATGAGCCCTGGCCTCTTATGTTCACTGGGAAATAGGTGATGTGGACTCAGAATAATACAAACTAGACTTTGGTCAGGCACTAGGGCATGCAATTCTGCTGATTTTAGAAAATCTATGTGCCCCTTTGATGGCAGGGAACCAGTTAAATAATCTCAAGTCCATTCCAACTTTCACTTCGTTTTAGTAAGTAAAGATATATGATGGCAGGAAATTACATGAAAATACCAAAGGCATGTTTTAACTGGAATTACTTCTTTGGGAATTTAGAATATAATTGATTAATGAATTATCTTATTTTAATTCTAACAAGGGACAGAATTAAAGAGGAAAAAACGAACACATGACTTTCCTCTAACCACCTGTCCCCAACTAATTACTGGTGACCATCTGCCTGGTGATCCAGTCCCTTCAGGGCCATCCCTGACACAGCAGTTACAAAGCATCAGCGCTGGTATGATGCAGCCAAGAGTGAACAGAGGCCCAGAATTTGCTCCATATTCTGAACCCCCACTATCCTGCTTTTCCACCAGATCTCAAAACCCTCTGGACATTAAAAGGCAACAGAAAGTTGTCAAGGCCTGACCTCAGTGCTTGGCAGCAGTTACTTATGAAATTATCTAAAGGTCTTTTTGGGAGCAAGATGATGTTTAAGACAGTTAAAGGAATTTAAAGTGTGACAGATTTCAAGAGTTATGTAGTATTTTATATGTGTGGTATGAGATATTCAATAAAGCAGTTACAGATTTATTAATATTTTTATCTGCACACTGAATATAAGCACATCTTTACTTCTAATGACTAGCTGAGTCTCAAAGATAAAACATTATGGCAAACTTCCCTATATATACTAGCAATTATTTAAACGAAGAAAAGTTTGTAATAAAATCATGAAAAAAAAACTGATACAACCTAATTTATGTAGGAAAAAAATCATCCACATTTTCAAGATTGTACAGGATGCATATAAGCTATTTCTTTCAGCTAATTCTCATCAACATCTAAAACAGAATATAAAGATATGCCTCCAACTTTATATTTTAATAGAACCATCTCAAGATAAAATAAGAACACAGAATTAAAATACACAGTTCTTGGAAGCTTTTGTTGCTTTTCTTGGCTCACACTTGGAAAATTCTTCTGCAACAAAAACTTTCCTTTAACATCACTTTAAATTTTGACTTAAAATTAACCATCCATTTTCTCAAGTTCAACAACATCATCTGTTCCACTCAGGATAAAGACTTAAAATTACCTAGTATTCATTTTGTGTGTTTGAAAACCTAAATAGGGATCAAGAACCAAACTGGTTGCTAGGTCATCATTTTCACAGAGTTCCTTGGCAGACATTCCAGAAGATGGTACATATCGACTCTGTCCTTCGAAGCCTGGATTCCCATTACCTGTGAGAAGAAAAGAGAAAAAATAACTCACGCTGAATACTACTTAAACCTACCTTAAAAACCTTTAACCTCACTGCCCATTCAAGTTAGTAATTAAGAATTAAAAGTGCTACTTCAATCAATTTTACCAATTCAAAGCTGAGTACCCTTTGCAAAAACAGAAAAACCAAATGCAGTAAATTAACTCAATTATTGAGAGCGTTTTTGTTAGATAATATCACCAAGTTTCCCAAGAAGAGGGTCTAGATAGCCGTGGTACTCTGGCTCACATGACTCACTTGCTCATCCAAGGAAGAGCTGACACAGGAGACGGGAGCAATTCAGCATCAAGGGCCACTACAGACAGGGCTGGGTGAGAAGGACACAAGAGGAATGCAAGACCCCTCTGCAACAAGTGCCAGGAGGGGAGATGTCAAAGGAGCTAAAAAGGAACACCAAGGCGTTACACCTTCAGCTTCCTGCTTTTGAGCCGATGTATGGTTATCATCCCCAACATGCAGGAAATTGAGGGCCAGAGGTTAAGAAGCTTGCCCACAGTTACGGAGCTAGGTAGCAGAAGAGGGGAGAGAGGGAGACGGAGAGGCCTATCCTAACTGACCTGTTTGGAACGGATTTTGAAGGAATGGATAAAAATAGGGAAGTGACTGAAAAAGGTACCTAAAGTAAATGGGTTTAACTGTGTAAGAAAAACAATGTAAAGAGAGGAAAGGAAGACTAAATTTGTACGGATGAAGCTTCATCAGTGCTGATTTAAGTCTGATGTACATGTCACCGAGTCTTCATGGAGACAGCACATGTAATTACAGAGGATACCAGGAGTGAAACTTTAAGCCTCTCAAAATTAAAAGGTGGAAGAATGAGAGACAAAGTGAGAGATCTAACCATTTCATCCACTCTTTCAATAAATAAATAAACACTTACATGTAAGTCCCTGGCAAAGGGTATTTGTTTTCAAGTCAAACTTTTGCATGTAGGTATGTGTACAACTATCAAAGTTGTTATATTTCCTACAACAGCTTTATTAAAATTTAATTCACATACAAGTCACCCATTTACAGTATACAATTCAGAATATAGTTTTAAACGTATTTACAGAATTGTGTAACCATCACCGAAATAAATTCTGGAACATTTTCATCATCCCTAAAAGAAACTTCATATCTACTAGAAGTTACTATCCATTTTCCCCTCCCACACAGCCTCCAGCAACCACCAATCTACCCGGTTTCTATGGATTTGCCTAGCTTGAAAATTTCACATAGATGGAATCATACGACATGTGGTCTTCTGTGACTGACTTCTTTCAATTAGCATGTTTCCGAGGCTCATCCACATTGTACCATGCATCAGTACTTCATTCCTTATTAAGGCCAAAGAATATTTAATTGTATGAATAGACCACATTTTGTTTTTCATTCATCAGCTGATGGAAACATGGGGGTTGCATCCATTTTTGGCTATGATGAATAAGGTTCTCATGAACATTCAAGTAAAGTTTTCGTGGGTATGTATGTTTTCCAACTCTCTTAGGTACATATCCAGGAATGGAAACTGCTGGGTCATGTGGTAACTCTATGCTGAACCTTTTGAGAAACTGCCAGACTGTTTTCCAAGTGGCTGCACCATTTTATGTTCCCAAAAACAGTGCATGAGGACTCTAAATTCAACCACTTCATCACCAGCACTCATCACTATTTGTCCTTTTGATTTCAGACATCCTACTGATTGTGAAGGGGTACCCTATGGTTTTGATTTGAATTTCCCTGATGACTAATGATTTTGAATATCTTTTCATGTATTGGCCATTTGTATATCTTTGAAGAAATGTCTGTCTACTCAGATCCCTTGCCCATTTAAAATTTAAATTGTCTCTTATTATTTACTCGTAAGAATTCTTTTTAAATTTATCTGGCTGTGTTGGGTCACTGTTGCCGTGTGAGCTTTGCTTCAGCTGCAGGGCACAGGCTTCTCACTGGGATGGCTTCTCAGGGAGCCTACGGGCTTCAGTAGTTGCCACACGTGGGCTTGACAGCTGCAGTTCCTGGGTTCTTGAGCACAGGCTCAGTACTGTGGCACACCACCTTAGCTGCCCCACCCCACGGCATGTGGAGATTTCCCAGGCCAGGGATCAAACTGTGTCTCTTGCACTGGAGGATGGACTCTTTACCACTGAGCCATCAGGGAAGCCCACAAGAGTTATTTATTCTGGATACTAGTCCTTTATCAGATGAAAACATTTTCTCCTATTCTGTAAGCTGTCTTTCCACATTCTTGATGGTATTCTTTAAAGTTTGCAACTTCGGTGAATTTCATGTTATCTTTTTTCTTTTGTTCCCTGTGCTTTTAGTGCCATATCCAAGAAACCACTGACTAATTCAAAATCATGAAAACTCATGCATATGTTTTCTTCTGAGGGTTTTATAGTTTAAGCATTTAATTTAGGTCTTTAGTCCATTTTGAGTTAATTTTTCACATATGGTCTGAGGTTCAGTCTAACTTCATTGTTTTGCATGTGGGTGGTATACAGTTTGGCCAGAACCAATAGCTAAAAAGACTATTCTTCCTCACGTCATTTCATTCTCACTTCTGTCAAAAATCAATTGACTACAAACATGAGGGTCTTCTCTGGAGTCTCAATTCTATTTCATGAATATATGTCTATCCACATGCTAGTATAATACTGTCTTGATTACTGCAGCTTTGTAGTAAGCTCTGAAACTGAAAAGTATGAATCGTCCAAGTATCTTTTTCAAGACTGTTTTAGCTATTGTGGGTCCCTTGAATTTTCTTAAGAGTTCTAGGATCAGCCTGTCAATTTCTACACAGAAACCAGTTGAGGTTTTGATAGAGATTACATTCAATCTGTGGGGCTTCCCTGGTAGCTCAGCTGGTAAAGAATCTGCCTGCAATGCAGGAGACTCTGGTTCGATTCCTGGGTTGTGAAGATCCCCTGGAGGAGGGCATGGCAACCCACTCCAGTATTCTTGCCTGGAGAATCCCATGGACAGAGGACCCTGGTGGGCTGCAGTCTATGGGGTCACAAAGAGTTGGACATGACTGAGCGACTAAGCACAGCACACATGAGATGTCTTTCCATTTACTTAGATATTCTTGAATTTTTCTTCAGTAATGTTTTATAGTTGTCAGAGTATAAGTTTTACACTTTATGTTAAATGTATTGCTGTTTCTTTCTGATGCCATTGTAAACGAAACTGTTACTTTTATTTTTTGATTCTTTATTGAAAGTGTATAGATATACAATTGATTTTTGTATACTTGTATCTTGCAATTTTGCTGGACTCATTTATTCTAATATTTTAGTGGACTCCTTAGGACTTTCTATATACACAATCATGTCATCTTCAAATAGAGATTGTTTTACTTTTTTTCCAATTTCGATGCCTTTAAGTTCATTTTCTTGCTTAACTGCTGTAGTCAGAACTTCTAGTAAAATGCTGAATAGAAGTGATGAGAACGGATAAATTTCTGTCTTATTCCTGATCTCAGGAGAAACCATCCACCATTATATATGACACTAAGCATTATCAGGTTGAAGAATTCCTTTCTATTCCTAGTTTGCTGAGATTATTTATCCTGAAAGGACACTGGATTTTGTCAAATGCTTCTTCTACATCCATTGGGATGATAGTACAGTTTTTGTCCTTGATTCTACTGATATGGTATCACATCAGTTATTTCTCAGACATTAAACCAACCTTGCATTCCTGGGATAAATCCCACTTGGGCATGCCACAGAATTCTTTTCATCTGTTGCTGGATCTGGTTGACTAGTATTTTACTGAGGATTTTTGCATCCATATTTATTACAGATATTAGTCTGTAGGTCTCCTTTTCTTATGATGGTTTTGGTACAAGGGTAATACTGGCCTTTTCTTTGTAGGTAGTGTTTTCTGTTTTTGATTTTAAATTTACTGATTCAATCTTCTTTACTTGCTATATATATATATATTTATTTATTTAGATTTTGTATAAATTTCTAATTCAGTTTTAGTAATTTATTACTTTCTAGAAATTTGTTCACTTAATCTATTTAATTTCTTGGTATACAGTTGTTCATAGTATTCTGTTATAATTCTTTACATTTTTCTAAGGCAGTAGTAATGTCCTTCAATCTCAGAGCTTCCAGAAGAACTGTTTCTTTCAAATTGTTGTGTTAGAGAGACTCTTGAGAGTCCCTTGGACCGTAGGGAGAGCAAACCAGTCAATTCTAAAGGAAATCAACTCTGAATATTCGTTGGAAGGATTGATGCTAAAGCTGAAGCTCCACTACTTTGGTCACTTGATGCGAACAGCTGATTCACTGGAAAAGACCCTGACCCTGGGAAAGGCTGAGGACAGGAGAAGAGGGTGGCAGAGGATGAGATGGTTGGATAGCATCACTGACTCAATAGACATGAGTTTGAGCAAAATCCATGGACTAGCAAAGAGCTGGACGTGACTTAATAACTGAACCACCGCCATAATGTCCCTTCTGCTGTTGATTCTTCAGTATTCTCTTTTTCTTAATCAATCCTGCTTAAAGGTCTACCAATTCTTGTTGATCTTTTCAAAGAATGAACTTCTTGAACTTTGCTCCTTTTCTCTGTTTTCTGTTTTGTTCATTTCTACTCTACTTCCTTCCTTCTTCCTGCTTTGGGTTTAGTTTTGCTCTTTTTCTGGTGTTTTAAGGTAAAAGGTTAGATTATTGATTGAAATCTTCCTTCTGTTTTAAATACAGGTGTTTACAACTATAATATCCCTCCAGGCACTGAGTTAGCTGCATTCTGTAAGTTTTTGGTATGTTGTATCTTCATTTTCAATCGTCTCAAACTATTTTCTTATTTCCTTTTTGATTTCTTCTCTAATCCACTGGTTATTTAGGAGTGAGTTAATTTCCACATATTTGTGTACTTCCAAAATTTCTGTTATTCATTTCTCATCTAACTCCACTGTGGTCAGAACATATATTGTATGATTTCAATCCTCTCAATTTACTGAGGCTTAAAGTATGGCTTAGTCTATGGTCTATCCTGAATGCTTCATGTGCACTTGAAAAGAATGTGTGTTCTGCTCCTGTTAAGTGAAGTGTTCTATAGAAGTCTGTCAGGAAGAGCTGATTTAGAGTACTGTTTGAGTCTTCTTTCCTTCACCTTCTGCTTATCTGTTCTATCCATTATTGAAAGTGGGGAACTGAAGTCCCAAATTATTGCTGAATCATCTATTCCTTCCTTCAGCTTTGTGAGTGTTTGCTCCATGTATTCTATGGTTCTGGTGTTAGATGAAGTCACTGAAGTCTTTTATCTAAGATGATGCATCTCCTCATCATTGACACTCTTTTTGCACCATTCTTGCCCAATAACATCCAATGTAATGCTGTTCATCTTCACAGGTTTACAGTTATCCTGGGGCAATTTACTACTCTTAGAAGAGCTATGAAACATGGATCAAATCTACAATTTCTTGAACTCTCAATATGTAGCCTCATTATCAACCAAAAGATATTGAGGTAAAAAAGTAATTCATTGTCAACAGTCCTTCTCTGTTAGGATAAACTATTCACCCTAAATAAAAAGAAGAAATGATGAAAATTTTAAAAGCTGCCTTAAGTTCCACATAACATGTAAATGAGGGCTGACTTTATCATTCATATTACTCTGCAAGTTTTCAAATAAATACATACTTACATTTACATCAAACATAAAAAAACACAGTCTAAACTTAAAAGAAATTTAACAGCAGTCCTTTAATATTTTTAATAGAACAAAGCAACCATTCAGGTATAAATTCTACAGAAAATAATTTAAAGTTATGGATATAGAAACACTATATTAAGAATTAAACGAGTTGTACACAATGTTGGATGAGAATAAAAGTTGACACAAGTCTGAAAGAGTATAAGAACCACATTGTTAACTGAGAAGAGAACACATATGACAAACTGGAAAGAATTCCTGCCCCACATCACCGTTAAAAGAGCGACAGCTGAAGTGTGTACATACATCTGCTTGACCTCCTCTCGCCTGCGTTTCTGCCAGTCTTCACGTTGTCCTTTCCCGTGTGCTGCAGTTTTGACTGATTCTGCTGATGGTCATTAGACAACTTGCCTCCATGTCTCCTGCCATTCACCACCATGTTCTTGGATTCTCCCAACCACTTCATACCCACAGGCAGCCTGACCCAGGTGCATTTAGTCACTTTCTTCAAATAGCTTAGAGAGTAATTTCAACGTTCTTTCCTAACAGAAACAAAACACGAAAAACAGAACAAAATGGGGAGATAAATACATAAAAGACCATGCTACACAGACCGCTGAGCAATTTTCAGAGTATTAAAAGTAACTGAACAATTAGTGTTTCCACTCTTCACAGACTGTCTTGGCTCCGCCTCCTCCCATCAGGCTGAGGCCTACAGAGCCCCTAGACTCGTTCTGCCCTGCTCCTCGCTTGTGCTCCTAATAGAGACTGGTAACTAGTAAGTGTTCAATAAATGTTTATCTCTCAGTTACCAATAAGAACCATCTTTGCTTCCTAATACCATGATATCAAGGTATAGCTAGGTATCAATAATTTGCTCAAACGACAAGTTTTGGAAAATTGTATTAACTCTGTGAATAAATTACAAGAAAAATTGCTTCTTCTCTTCTTGAGGAGCTGAAGAAAAGGCATCTAAGTTAAGCTTTCTCCACAAGAGTTTTGTTAGTCTGCAATCAGCATTAAGGGTATTTAAGAGACCAACATTCAAATATCAAAATACTGCTCATCATGAAATACCTGCCTTAGCTTTCTTTACATCGGCAACAAAAACTGAAATTATTATATTTGCTAGTACAGTGGTTTCCCTCACTATCTGAATTTTAACTGGGTGAATTTGGGGACAAAATGACGAGGACAGTGACTGATGCTTATCATATGTAAGAACCTTTGGAAAAGAAGTTATACTACATGGCATTTGCTGGTAGTGAAATGAGAGAGGATGTCCACGTCATCACCTCATTACAAATTACGCTTTAATATAAATCAGACTAAAAAGGCTCAAGGAAAGCACAACAACAGAGCTAAGGGAATTTTAAGATTTCAGTACAACACTTTCAGTGTGCAGAGGGTGGTGAGGCAGCACACCCAGAGCCCCCCAGCCTGCCTGCAGCAGCATCCGGAGAGGAGCCCAGCACTGCTGCCCAAGGCTCTCGCACTATAGCAAAGGGCATCTCCCCTCACTTTTCCCAAACACACAGAAAAGTACACGATAAATTATTTTGAAGAACTCCCAGAAATGTATAGCCGGAGATAATCACTGATACCCAACACAAATATGAAATATTAATTTTTACTTGACCTCCAGTCTCTCTGACATCACAGGAATTCTGTGTGAATTCACAGTAAGGTAGAACGTGTGTTAGAGCAACATGTTTAGGTGTAAGAAGGTAAAAATCAGCAGATCCATATCAAGAATACTTTTAAATTGTTCTCAAAGATATATTTTCTCTTAGTTCCTTCACTATTTAAATTCAATTAGTCTACAGCTCTTATTGTACCGATCTTTTGATTCTTCCTGTAGGCTTCACTAAACCCAGAAAAATGCCGCAGCTTAAATAGGTAAAGGCAAGTAAAATACTGATAGTTACAAGCTAAATGTTTCTGAACTAATATACTTTATTAAATAAAACGGTATCTCCTAGCAATGATAGAGTATCTTATATTTACACTTAGACAACTGGTCTTTTTGTCTAATTTCTACATGTTCCAGGAAGTCTTCCTTGACGTTCATTCTCAAATCCAGGTAGACACCCTACTATAAAACTGGGTGATAGTGAAGGCCTGTCTGCCACCTCCAAAGCTAGCGGAAATGATGGAATTCCAGTTGAGTTATTTCAAACTTAAAAGATGATGCTGTTAAAGAGCTGTACTCAATGTGCCAGCAGATTTGGAAAATTCAGCAGTGACCATAGAACTGGAAAAGGTCAGTTTTCATTCCAATCCCAAAGAAAGGCAATGCCACAGAAAGTTCAAACTACCTTAAAATCATGCTCATTTCACAAGCTAGCAAGGTAACGCTCAAAATCCTTCAAGCTAGGCTTTACCAGTAAATGAGCCAAGAACTTCCAGATGTACAAGCTGGATTTAGAAAAGGCAGAGGAAACAGATCAAATTGCCAACATCTGCTGGATCATAGAAAAAGCAAGGGAACTGCAGAAAAACATCTACTTCTGCATCACTGACATCCTAAAGCCTCTGACTGTATGGATCACAACAAACCGGAAGATTCTTAAAAAGATGTATACCAGACCACCTTACCTATTTCCTGAGAAACCAGTATGCAGGTCAAGAAGCAAGTTAGAACCAGACATGGAACAATGGACTGGATTCAAAACTGGGAGAGGAATATGTCAAGGCTATATGTGGTCACCCCGCTTATTTAACTTCAATGCAGAGTACACTGTGCGAAATGCTGGGCTGGATGAATTACAAACTGCAATCAAGATTGCCAGGAGAAATATCAACAATATTTGATATCAAATATCTCAGATGCACACAGATGATAACACTCTTAACGGCAGAAAGCAAAGAGGAATTAAAGAGCCTCTTGATGAGGGTGAAAGAGGAGTGAAAAAACGGGCTTAAAGCTCAACATTCAAAAACCTAAGATCATGGCATCCGGTCATTATCACCTCATGGCAAAGAGAAGGGGGAATCGTGGAAGCAATGACAGATTTTATTTTCTTGGAATCCAAAATCACCGCGGACAGTGACCGCAGCCATGAAATTAAAAGACGCTTGCTCCTGCGAAGAAAAGCTATGACAAACACACACACCATATTAAAAAGCAGACCTTTGCTGACAAAGGTCTGTATAGTCAAAGTATGTTTTTCCACTTGTCATGTACAAATGTAAAGAGTTCAGGAATGTGAACTATAAAGAAGGTTGAGCACTGAAGAATTGATGCTTTTGAATTGTGGTGCTGGAGAAGATTCTTGAAAGTCCCCTGGACTGCAAGGAGATCAAACCAGTCAATCCTAAAGGAAATCAACCCCGAATATTCATCGGAGCGACTGAAACTGAAGCTAAAACTCCAATACTCAGGTCACCTGATGCGAAGAGCCAACTCATTGAAAAAGACTCTGATACTGGAAAGATTGAGGGCAGAGGGAGAAAGGGCCAACAGAGGATGATGGTTGGATGGCTTCGCCGACTCAATGGACATTAATCTGAGCGAACTCCAGGAGATAGCGGAGGACAGGGAGCTTAGCATGCTACAGTCCACGGGGTCGCAGAGAGCCGGACAGGACGTAGGGACTGCACAAGTCTGCCTCCGTAAGGGACTGAGAGCTCCTGAAACCAAGAACCTACTCTTCTTTTCCTTAGCACAGCACAAAGCAGATCAAAGGCACTCAACTGATGAAAGAATAAATAAATGAGACTGTGATCTAAATCACCTCACAGGAGCTGGCACGTCCGTGTTTTTTAGACTATAACTTATAACCTGACCTCCAGTTCTCTTCTTCCCCAAGGTGCCTGCGCTGGCACCGGCAGCTGGAGCAGGGCTGGCGCAGGCAGCAACCTCTCACCACCAGCAACCTCCCCAGCACCTACCACAGTGCTTTCGGGTTCACCCCTGACTCTGTACCTCCAGAGAAAACAAGAAGAAGGAAGTTCATCTCAAGAATGTCTACATATACCAGTAACACATGACCTACAGATAATGATGAAAGAATGTGTTTTTAAGCCTCATTTGAAGTCCTAATACTCCTCAATGATAACAAAAGGTAACTATATGAAATAGAAAAGAGAAATGTGGCTTTATATAGAATTAAGAGACAAAAGAACAGCAAATCAGCTCCCCAGAGAACCCTTCAGCCCCAACCAAGCTTCCAGTCAGAGGAAAAAAGCAGAAAACCTGGGACAAGTCCCAGCAATTTGTGTTTTAGTAAGCCCTCCAGGGGATTTTGATGCAACTCCAGCATCTGAACCACTGTTCTAAGTTACTTGTTCATCTACTAGGGCAAAGAACAGATATCAAATTTTTAAGGAAAATTAAAGAATAAAAAATGTTAATTTGAGGAAATTATACCTACCAACCCAATTTCTCCCAAGAATTCAGAAAGTTCACCAATAAATCATTTTAGTACTACACTCTGACTCAGTTCATGGAGAACAGACTGAGATCCACTCTAACTTACACATAATTTCAATTAAATGTAGGTTAATGACTAAAAAAAAGGAGCAAATCCATAACCCGGGGTGTCTGAATTATACTGCAGTCAACTGATACTATTTCATTTGAACTTAAGGAACCGAAGTGTAACAAGCACTCTGTCAGAAGACATGGCTGAATTTCACGAGAATGAACACACTGCACATACGTCTGGGTATATTCCATATTCTAGCAGAGGCACCAATACTCTCCACTCGTCTGGATAACAACAGTTATCATTACAGCAAAAGGCTTCAGCTCACAATGAATATTCTGTGAAAGCAGTTTTAGTAAAGCTAGTAAAGATGGGGGGTTATGTATAAATTTTTAGCTCAAAATAAACATATCCTCTACTAGGCATCAGCTGCTCTGCCCTCATGCGTGCAGGATCTGCTCTTGTTGGCATGATCGGTCCCACAAGACGATGAGCTGGAAGAACACTTTCATATTAAAGGTGGAGATGGAATTTGAAAAGCTAACACAAGTAGGTATTTTCACAGGAGAAACAGGAAGTGAAGACATGGGGTGGCTCCCCCTCCCAACAGAGGAGGGGTGCAGAGTCTCTGGCCTGGAACCCAGCAGGCTCACATGGAAATACTACCATGGTCTTGACTTGGTTGACAGTATCTGAGCCGCATTTAAAAGTTAAAATCACCTCAAATTTATCCCAAAATTGGCAGAAAAAAATTTTTAAGAAAGGAGTACTGGCTACTCCTTAAATGCCGTAAGAAGTTACAAATCACTCTCTGTTCTGATTTCACAATTAAAAAATCATGAAAATTATTACACATCTACTACACTCCAGTCACTGAGGATGCAGCAAACAAGGTTTCTGTCCTCATCTGTGCTTGAATTCTAATGAAGAAAGCTCCTGGAAATGACAGATTGGCAAATAAACGCCAGCACCTTGGAGAAAATAAAACCATTTCTAAGTGGCAGGGGGTGTTTCAGGTGGAACCCAGGTGGCACAGGGTGAAGCACCAGGGCGCACAGGAGAGTGAGCACCGGCAAAGGGCAGGTACAAAGTCGGGGGAGGTAGGACCAGCA